GGGGGGAGATTGGGATCAGGGGGGGAATCGCGACGGCGGGAGAAGAACGGCGCGCGGGGGAGTGAGGTGCGCGCGGGGGAATGTCGTGATCGCGTAGAGGGGGAAGGAAGAATCGCGCGGGGAGATCGCGCTGTCATACCAAATACCCTTACATCTCCTGCAAGTTACGCGAGTGCAGGCCTCGCTTGTCCGATAGCGTGCGCGTGAGAGAAAGCTTAGGTCCTCGTAGGGGTGGGCGGCACGCGCAGGGTATTGATGTCAAGGTACAACCCTGCGTTCCCCCACATTTATTTTTTTTATGCATTGGTAATATTTTTATTATTATTATTATTCCTATCTTTATTTTATGCATTTGACTCGATGATCGGCTCCGAGACCGACGTGGGGACCGACGCACCGGGCTCTGTTACGGTATGGTCGGGCACAGATTGCCGTCGCGGCAGTCGGGGACCTTGGGTGTGCGCCCTTCGGGTTGGCCCACGGTGCAGGAGAAAAGGCTGAATGGCGGGGCCAGCCGTTGCGGTGCAGCGTCCGCTCCCCACCATTTGCTGTGAGAGGTTTGTGTGTGAGCGTGTCGGTTGGGACACGAAAAATGGTGACCGGTGCCCGGGCGCAGAGGGGCAAAGCAGCCCGGGGCGTTGTGGAGAGGCCGTAGCGGTACGGCAACAATCTGCGGGTTATAGGGAACCCCAGAACAGCCACATCCGTGCTCAAGCCTCCAGCGAGGGAACATGCGGGATCTGCCCCACCAAACAGGTGCACTACCTGCTGCAACAGGTGGGTGGTGCCGGCCAAGGGCCAGCCGATGTGGTGCATCGTCCGCTCCCCACCATCTGCTGTGAGAGGTTTGAGAGTGAGCGTGCCGCTGGGGCACGCAAGATGGTGAACTATGCCTGAGCGGGGTCGGGCCAGCGGGTACCCATGGGAGGCTGCCGCATTTTTCATAGTGCGGCAGGCTATCCCAGCAGCAGATGCCAGATCGAACCCACCTCCACTTCGGCCTCCAAAGTTCTCATTTGAAGGGCTGCTACTACCACCAAGAACTGCACCGGACCCGCTTCGCAAGGCATGTGTGGCTGGCTGCGCAGCAGGCCCGACACCCTCGAACCCGCAGTGATGCCAGGTTCACCACCGCAACTGTGCACAGGTCGCGTGCCACACCGCTATCAGTCTTTCCTCTGATTGAGTTGGCAAGTGCTCGGCTCTCATGACCGCCGACCCGCTGCCTGTGTCAACTGAGACCCGTACGATATACGGGTGAACAGGCAGCTCAGCGCAGGGGGGAGACAGCGGCCAGCGCGTAGAAGAGGAGGGACGGGCGCAGAAAGGGAGCAAGAAGGCAGAGAGAAGATGGCTTGAATCCGGATGT